CTTTCATTTAGGTGAATAGCTCTAGGAGGCATTCTGTACCTTTCTCACCTTCTAACACATCCTCCCTCTCAACATCACACTCTCTGCTCCCTCACTCCTGCTGCAGGTGACCCCTCCTCAGTGAGCCACCTGCGACAAGTACCTCTATCAGACTCTGCATTTGGGGTAACTCAAACTAAAGCAAGAGCTCGTGGAAAGTCTAGTGAGCACCAACTGTTCTCAGACAGCAGACTGCAGGGTTTTGCCTGTCAACTTAAAGGAAGGAAAAGTTTAGAGATGGGAGAACCTGTTGTAGAATTACAAGTTAAGGCCTCAGGGGTTCTGTTCAGTCCTTACTTCTCTATTTTCCCAAGCAAAAGAGAGGACAGAAGATCGGAGAGGAAGATTTGTTTCCTGAGCCCTGCTTCTGAGGCCTGAAGTGCCCCAACATTATAACAAATAGCTATAACAATGGTTATGGGATTATTAGCTAGCAACCATGGACAAAACCCAACATATACATACATACACACACACACAAATATATATATATATATATAAAATCATAATATCACACCTAATAAGTGGGCAAACATTTTTAAAAGATGATATTAACACTGGAAGGACTTGAAGAAATTAGCATTCTCACTTAGTCAGTGGCTTTATAAATTGTAACTTTGCTCTTTGGAAAGGTAATTTGGCAATATGTTTCAAGAGATCATTAAAATATTCATATTATCTTGATCAGAAAGTCTCCCCAACCCCCACCTTTGTATGACTGTGTCTCTTGTATAACTTAGCACTTACTGTGTCAAATTGAGATATTGATGATCAAGTAGACGTGATTAGGGAATAATCACCTTCCTGTTTGGAGTGACCTCACCTCAAGGAGATGAAGGCCCCAATGTCAGTCATACAGAGAAGCCCATTCTCAGATAAGAAGCCGAAACTCAGAGAGACACTAAAAGGAACTTAAATCCTAGATAAACATAAATTTAGGCATCACCTGGTGTCCCACCTAGTGGATGTTCAGATAGCACCTGTCACAACAAGAAGTCCATCAACAATGTGGGAAGGGGCTCTGTGATGAGCCACAAACTGAAGGTTAGGGATTTTTTTTTTTTTTTTTTTTTTTTTGAGATTGAGCCTTGCCCTGTCTCCTAGGCCAGGCATGGTCACGGCTTACTGCAGTCTTGATCTTCCAGGGAACCTCCCACCTCAGCTTCCTGAGTAGCTGGACAGGTGCACGCTACCATGGCCAGCTAATGTTTTCATTTTTTGTAGTGACAACGTCTCTATTTTGCCCAGATTGGTCTCGAACTCCTGAGTTCAAGTGATCCTCCTGCCTCAGTCTCCCAAAGTGCTGGGATTACAGGTATGAGCCACTAAGTCCAGTCTCTTGCTAGCTTTGATGAGGCAAACTGCCATGCTGGAGAGGTTCATATGGTTAGGAGCTAAGGCCAGCCAGTGGCCAGCAGCTTGCAAGGAATTGACGACTTCTTTTCTTTTCTTTTTTCTTCTTTTCTTTCTTTCCTTCCTTCTTTCTTTCTTTTTTTGACAGGGTCTTGCTCTGTTGCCCAGGCTGGAGCATAGTGGCATGATCCCAGCTCACTGCAGCCTCCACCTGCTGGGCTCAAGCAATCCTCCCACCTCAGCCTCCCAAGTAGCTAGGACTACAGGTGCGCATCACCATGCCAAGCTAATTTTTTCATTTTTTTTTTTTTTTGAGAGACGAGGGCTCACTATGTTGCCCAGGCTCATCTTGAACTCCTGAGCTCAGGCTATCTACCTCCCTTGGCCCCCCAAAATGCTGGGATTACAAGGCATGAGCCACTGTTCCTGGCTAGTTAAGGGATTTTATGTAGTCATTAAAGATTATGTTTAGCCCATGGGGGGAAAAAACCTTATATTCTAATTTTATATTATGTATAAAAGTAATTTCAGATAGACTAAATATTTAAACTCCAAAAATGTAAAACCCTAAAAGAAAAGATAGCAAAATTCTTTGAAATCATATTTAAGTGAGAAGACTTTTTAAACTAAACTGCAAAACTAAGAACTCATAAAGGAAAGGATATATGACTGTAACCACATATAAATGTAATTTTTTAAAAAATGATGATTCATTTCAAAGGCATAAATAAGTTACAGAAAAAACTTACAAGTTGGGATGAAATATCTTTAAAAAATAAATAACAAAAGGTTTATATCCATAGTGTGTGTGTGTGTATATATAGTATATATACACAGTATAAGGTGTGTGTGTGTATACATATATAAATATATATAATTATATATACATAGATAAATATATACATATATAAATATACATAGATAAACATATATAATTATATACACATATATGTATACATATATGCATACATATATAAATATAGATATAATTATATATATGTATACACATACACACACAGAGTACTTAAAAATCAATGACAAAAGGCCAGGCACAGTGGCTTATGCCTGTAATCCCAGCACTTTGGGAGGCCAAGGCAGGTGGATCACGAGGTCAGGAGTTTGAGACCATCTTGGCCAACATGGTGAAATCCTGTCTCTACTAAAAATACAAAAATTAGCCGGGTGTGGTGGTGAGCACCTGTAGTACCAGCTACTCAGGAGGCTGAGGCAGGAGAATCGCTTGGACGTGGGAGGCGAAGGTTGCAGTGAGCCGAGATTGTGCCGCTGCATTCCAGCCTGGCAACAGAATGATAATCCGTCTCAAAAAACCAAAACAAAACAAAAATGATGAAAACAAAAATAACCCAACAAAAAATTGTTACATGGGAATAAATAATTAGGAAAAGAAATGCAAAAAGGTGATCAGTTTTGCCTGTAATTAAATAAATGAAATTAAAAGAAACAAAATATATTTTGTCCATTACACTGGCAAAAGTAAAAGTTTTTAATTGGATAATATCCAGGGTTGATGAAAGTTTAAAAATTTTGTGGTTTTTTTTTCAGAGGAAAATCTAACAGCATCTATTAAAATTTTAAGTGTTTATGTCCTTTGCTCCATCATGTCCACTTCTATAGAAACACTTTTGTAAACTGATAGCAATATACACAATTTATATTCTTTACAGTACTGTTTCTACTAGTGAAAAAAATTAAAAATAAACCAATGTCCTTCAATATAGGAGTGGTTAAATAAACTACCTCCATATTTTCACAGGATCCTTGGGGTGTCATCTTGTCAGCTGGAAACCTCTGTGGCTGGTGGCACCTTTGCCCAAATTTTGCTGAGGCCCACTGGGCTTGTTCCACTCACGTGGCCCAGAAGGCTGCTTTTGGTTTGTGCTACCAGCCTGGGTCCCATGCCTGCCAAGGGCAAGCCAGGTGCAAAGCACCAAGGGGTGTGTGAGCAAGCATGGGGTCTGACCATGTCCATAGCTAGGCATGCCAGCTTTGGCAGGGCAGGCAGCTCCAGGCATTGGCACAGGCACTGGCTCTGTGCTGGGCTGTGGCTGGACCAGGCATACCACAAGTAGTTTCCACTGCAGGTGCCGGAGAACATCGTGGTGCTCAGAAGCTTGGAGACACCAGGAACCACAAAACCCCAAAGAGGGTGACACAGCCCTGGCCCAGGGAGCCCCTTAGTCTGGGCTCCCTGAAAGGCTACACCTCTTCTCTTCTTTTCATTGCCTGCAGCGTGGGTGAGTGGGGGTGTGTGTTTCAGCCCTGTTTGTGTTACAGCTCTTTCAGTTCTGCCATTTGGTGGGTCTTGAGTTCTTGTCCCACATCCAGGAAGAATGAGGTACATGGACAACTAGAGGATGAGCAAGGTGAAGGGGTGCTTTATTGAGTGACAGTACAGCTCTCAGGAGACCCGAAGTGGGTAGCTCTTTCCCGAAGGCAGGTCTCCCATTGTTTCTGCAGCCCTCAGGAGAGAGGAGACCCAGACCGGTTAGCTCCTCTTTATAGACAGGTTGTCCAGTTGTCTCTCTGAGGTCGACTGAGTCCTGGGGTTTCAAGGGCTTCAGAAGGGAGGAAGTACATGCTTATTTGTCCATGGGTGGCCATGGGTGGGCCCAGAAAAAACACCGTAAGTTTTCACTTGGGTCTGTGGAACTGGCAGCCCAGCCCCCAGACTTCTGGCCATCCCTGCCTTGAAGGTGGGGTTTCACTGGGGACCCACCCTTTTCTGCCCAGGAGCCTGTCTGCCTCCCACTGCTGCTTATGGCACTCAGGCTGTTCATGCCAAGGGGTGCCTGCAGACCTGCACTGAGCCACCTTCAGCCCCCACCTTGGCCTCCCTCCCATGCTCTTCGATGCCCAAAGCCCAGAGGGGACTGAAGTGGCAGAGGGCTGGCGCGTTAGTACTGCCCCAAGCATACATGCACCTATCTGGATCTGGGCAACACCTGGGCTTGGCCACAACTTTGCTCCAAAATTGGAGTGAGTCCCAGGAGTGGGGAGAGGCCAGGCAGTGGGAGCAGGCACTTCTGAGTCTGTGGGGGAAGGGCGGCTTCCCAGGCCCCCAAGAGCACAGGGATGTCCTGGTCCACAGCCGCAGCTGGGCGGCTGCAGTTGTGCCTGGGAGTGCGGGGCTCCCTCCCCACCAACTCAGAAGGGGGTGGGGCTCCTGCCTGTTTCCAGCTCCCACTACCTCTGCGGAGTGAACAGCCCCAGCCGCACCTCCCCAGCTGCAACCAGTGTCTTTGCAGCAGCTGCTCCAGATGGGTTGCTGCCATCATCAATAAGTGGAATGAAATTTCATGCAGCCACTGAAAAGAAAGGTTTAAATCTATAAACACTGCCATGAAAATAACAATAAAGAGGTGGTATGTATAATATCCTTTTGTTGTTGTTTGGTTTGTGGTTAAAAAAGAAAATAGAATAATAATGTGATAGTAAATGTATAAAAGTAAAAGTGGGGAGGTGGGAGAAGAGGAGAAATACACACCAAACAGTTATAGTGAGGATCTTGAGTGGTGTGGATGAAATTATAGAGAATTTTCCCATTTCTATAGTATTCAAATTATTATTATTATTATTCCTTTTGACTGCATTTATTTTAATGCTGAATTTACTCCTGTGCCATAAGTTTTTGTTTATTCAGTTTCTTCTGGGATATCTTTTTCTTCTGGGCAAACCTCCTCTTCAGGTTTAGGAACAATCTGTTTTTTCAGTAAGGATCTTCTCTGTGTGGCAGGGAGAGCTTGTGTATGGGTTAATCCGACCATGAGCTCTGTAGGTCCAGCGGCACATCTTAGGTGCTTTGTTCACTTGGATATGCTCAATGACTGGAGAATCTACATCTAAAAACATAAGTTCAGCATTACTCTCTGCATTTTTAAGCATGTGCACCAAAAATTCAGCACTCTTTTTGGGCCACCGACCTTGTGTCCAGCCCCACTGCTTGGCCTGGGCACACCTGCCAACTCCACCATTGTAACATCGGGATGGTACGCACTGTTTCTGTAAAGTGCCATCTTTCAGATACTTCATGGCTTTTCATATATGCATACCCTTGATGGCCTAGGTAGTTTCACGAGTGTTCTTAAAGTGAACACGAAGATTGGAACTTCTTGATTTGCATGATTTTTTGGGGCTCTCCAGGTCACATGAATAGCAAACCATTTTCACAGATTACCTCAGGCCACTTAGGGAAAGAGAGCGTGTTCAAATTATTACAAACTGTAAAACTTTGTAATAATAAGAGCCAATATTTTATTGAGGGTTTGCTACCAAACACTATCCTCTGTTCTTTGCATGCATTACTGCCTTTAGTTATCTCAATTGTCCTTTGGAGGACGTTCTGTTATTTTCTGTGAGGAATATAAGGCATAGGTGAAGTTGAGTGTCAGATAGCAAGACAGTAAGTGGTGGAGTTAAATTTCAAACCCAGATCCTGACTCAATAGCCACTATATTATGGGGGTTCTCACACACACACACACACACTCACACCCACAGAGTGCAGTTAAAATCTTTACAAGGGCAATTACAAACAATAAAAATGCCAACGATATAATATTATCTGAAAAAGTGACCCACGAAATGTGTGTGCACTGTGATTTGTGATTGTTCCATACATAATATGCATCTGCAAAAGGACTATAATCATCCGCATGATGGCAACCTTTTATTTATTTGTCAAATTGCAAAAGTAGGCACCAGCCATGAGCTGAGACTTGAGCTCATTTATACACAGTTCAGATGGCCAGGCTGGATTAACTTTCCTCCTTCCTACACCACCACCCTGGGCTTATGATGCCACAGCATCATTGTCAGTGTCACTGTTAGCCTCCCCAAACAGTAGCACAAATTTTTGAGGGAATCGAGGATCAGAGAGGTGAAGTGTCTTGGACAAGGCGGGACAGTGAGGAAGCAGCCAAGCATGGATTTAACCCAAAGATTTTCCAGGTTTGGCCCAGTTTTTCTACTTCCTACTGTGTTGCTGTTTCATTTAATCTTATTTCTTCCTCCTCTATCTAAGAACAGGAAGCTATTCTCTCATGTTCTTCTCTGAGTTTTTCTCTCTCCCCCTACTCCTCCTCCCTCTGCACCTCTCCTTTCTCTCTCCTAACCTGGCTCCACTGCTTCATTGCCCTGCACATGCCCACAATGGCCACTCTGGCTCACAATCCACATAATTTAGTATGCACCTGAACTTCACTCTGCTTACATTCCACTCATGTATTCAAGTCAACCCCTGCATCACATGGGTGTTAGTCAATAGAGTCCAGTAACACTTGGGCCTATTTTCCATCCTAATCAATACTAAAATATATCTATTACACTGTTTCTTGTTATTACCACAGAAAATTCTATTTATCTATGATATAAATTTCCACAGATTTTTAACAATAGCTTTGTTGGAATCCACTCGTAAAAAATTAAAGGGAGGTGGCCAGGCATAGGGACTCATCCCTGTAATCCTAGCACTTTGGGAGGCCGAGGTGGGTGGATCACCTGAGGTCAAGAGTTCAAGACCAGCCTGGCCAACATGGTAAAACACTACTCAGGAGGCTGAGGCAGGAGAATCGCTTGAACCCAGGAGGTGGAGCAGGGAGCCAAGATCGCGCCACTGCACTCCAGCCTGGGTAACACAGCAAGACTCCATCTAAAAAAAAAAAAAAAAAGAAAGAAAAAAGAAAAATTAAAGGGATGAGATCATCAGAATGGAATTTTTAATTGTTGAGGGAGAACGAGAAGAGAATAAAATCTCCAGGCGTTATTAAACACAGAGTTGCAGATACTCTGCTTCAAAGGATTTTGGACAAACTGCCAGGAGGTCAAACATTTCCAGTTTCAGTGGAAACATAATTTAGCTAATTTCCTAGAAAAGAAAGCACATAGTTAATCCAAGTCTGCTAATTAATCTAAGAGAACACACTGGCTTTTGATGGCATTTTCCCCTTTGGGAGAGGAAAAAATAACCCTGCTTATAAATTAGTGTTTTCTTAAACAGACAGACTGAAATTTACTGCAGCTCTTCAGGGATTTTCAGCTTCAATAAACCAGTGGGAAAGTTCTTCCTTGCTTGCATACATATGCTCTGTTGCCCCATTGGCAGAGGCCTCCCTCCTTTACTTTCCCTTCTTCCTCTCTTGCTTCTCCTTTCCTTCTTCCCTTCCTCCCTTCCTTCATTCCTACAAGAAATACTTATTGAACACCTACTACATGCCACATATTGTTATGTCCTAGTGTACAGCAGTGAACAAAAAGTAGTAAATAAATGTGTTAGATATGTTAAGTACTTTGGGGAAATACAACACAAGAAAGGGTCAGGGAGTGCTGGTGGGGTGATATGGCTTGGCCATGTCCCCACCCAAATCTCATCTTGAATTGTAGTTTCCATAATCGTCAAGTGTCATGGGAGGGACCCAGTGGGAGGTAATTGAATCATGGGGGAAGTTACCTCCATGCTGTTCTCATGATAGCGAATGAGTTCTCACGAGATCTGATGGTTTTATAAGGGGCTTTTCCTCTTTTGCTCAGCACTTCTCCTGCTGTCACCATGTGAAGAAGGACGCGTTTGCTCCCCCTTCCACCATGATTGTAAGTTTCCTGAAGCCTCCCTAGACATGCTGAACTGTGAATCAATTAAACTTGATAATTTCTTCTTAACTACCCAGTCTCAGGTATTTCTTTATAGCAGCATGAAAATGGACTAATACATGAGGGCACTCTGAGATTTTAAATAAATGGCCAGGGAGGACTCATTAAGAAGGCAACACTTGAGCATAAACCCAAGCAGGTGAGGGAGGAAGCTTTGCAGCTATCTGGGGCAAAACCAATAGGAAAAGTGCTGCCACTGGAGTGTGGCTGGAAGTTTGAGAGCAGCAAGGATCAGGCCTGGAATTAGAGGAAGGCAGAGGAGGTGAGTTGAGCAAGTGCAGGAGTGGATCTTGTCTTTCTTTCAAATTTTTATGATTTGTATATCATTAATTTTTTTCACATTCATTTTGATATTGCATTAAAATATTACTGATCTTGACTACTGAGGTTTTGGCATCTTGAAGCGAGTACTCACTAGCTTCACTCTAGTCCAGGCCCAGGAGCCAACGTAGGGGAGTAGAGCAGGGGTGAGGGCGTGAGTTAGGGAGAGTGGTAGAAAATGAAGTCAGAAAGAAAGGAGCAGGGGAAGATGCTGAGGAGCTTGGCTTTTACTCTGAATAGGATGGGAAGTCATTGAAGGGCTGTATTCATTTTCTGCCATAACAAACTACCATGAATTTATTGGTTTAAACAACACAAGACTGGGCGCAGTGGCTCATACCTGTAATCCCAGCACTTTGGGAGGCCGAGCGGGGTGGATCATGAGGTTAGGAGTTTGAGACCAGCCTGACCAACATGGTGAAACCCTGTCTCTACTAAAAATACAAAAATTAGCCGGGTTTGGTGGCGTGCATCTGTAATCTCAGCTACTCAGGAGGCTGAGGCAGAATAATCACTTGAACCCGGGAGGCAGAGGTTGCAGTGAGCCGAGATTGAGCCACTGCACTCCAGCCTGGGTGACAGAGCAAGACTCTGTCTCAAAAAAACAAAACAAAACAACCCACAAATACGTTATCTTACAGTTCTATAGACCAGAAGTCCAACACAGGTCTCACCAGGCTAAAATCAAGTTGTTAACAGGGCTGCTTCCTCACTGGGAGCTTTGGGTGGGAATCTGTTTCCTGCTCGTTAGGTTTGTTCACAGACTTTAGGGCCATGCAGTTGTAGAACTGAGGTCCCCTTTCCCTTGTAGTTGGTTTGTGGCTCCCTTCCTCCATTTTCAAAGCCAGCAATGGAGGGTCAGGCTCTTTTCATGTCACATTTCTCTGATCCATTCTTCTGTCTTCCTCTCCTACTACTGAAGACTCATGTGATTAGACTGGGCTCCCCTGGATAATCCAGGATACTCTCCTCATCTCAAAGTCCATACCCTAAGCACATGTAAAAAGTCCCCTTTGCTATGTAAGGTAACATATTCACAGGTTCCAAGGATTAGGATGTGAACGTCTTTGAGGAACCATCATTCTGTCCACCACAAGGGCGTTGAGCAATGGAGCAACTGCTCACTTTGCAACTGAGAATGTGTCAGTCTAGTTGCTCTGTTGAAAATAGCTGGGGGTGAGAGGAGGAAGCCCAGGGAGGATAGGGCAAGAGGCAGGAAGCTGGTATAGAGGCTGACACGATAATTCAGGGGAGAAATAATGGTAGTTTGGACCAAGGTAGGGGGTAACTCTGGAGGAGTCAAGGCTAGATAAGGTGACAATAGGTTTCAGATGTCAAGTTGGCTAAGCTACTGTCCTCAGTTATTCAATCAAACACTAATCTGGGTGTTGCTCTGAAGGTATTTTATGGACATGATTAAAGTCCTTAATCAACTGACTCTCAGCGAGGGAGATAATCCTAGATTGAAGGTGGGCCTGATCGAATCCGTTGAAAGGCCCTAGAGGAACTGAGGGTTCCCTGATGAAGAAATTCTGCCTCTGGATGGTAACTCCGCTCATGCCCAGGAGTTCCAACCTGCCCTTTCTGACAGCCTGCCCTGTGGATTTCCCACTCGCCTAACCAGTCCCATGATTATGTGAGGCAGGAGAATCGGGCCTGGAGGCAGGGAACCTCATGGCTTCCTAGAACTAAATCAAATGGAAACACTGCAGCTGTGACAGGAACTATACTCGTCATTTACATAGAATCTACACCAAATAAATAACTTTGTAACCTCACTTTAGCCTCTTCATTTACATAGGGCATACACCAAGTAACCAATGGAAACCTCTAGATGGCATTTAAACCCCAGAAAATTCTGTAATGGGGCTCTTAAGCCCCTATGCTCAGCCACTCCAACCCCGTAGAGTGTACTTTCGTTTTCAATAAATCTTTGCTTTTGTTGCTTCATTCTTTCCTTGGTTTGTTTATGTGTTTTGTCCAACTCTTAGTTCAAGATGCCAAGAACCTGGACACCCCTAACTGATAACATATGTAGGGCAATTCCTTGCAATAGATCTCTTAATATGACTCTCCTACTGGTTCAGATTCTCTGGTTGAATCCTGACTGATACATCCTGAATAAGTTTGAATGTGGAGCTGACCGGCTAAGCTAGTGTGTTGGAAGTGGGATGTGAGAAAGGGAAGTCCAGGATGTTTCCAAAGTCTTTTGCCCGGAGCAGCCAGAAGGATGGCTTAGGTATCTCCTTCTAAGGTAGGAATCACGAACACAAAAGCCACCTGCAAAAGCCTGTTCAAGGGTTGGCAAAGGAAGAGGCCCAGTTTCCCCTAAGGAAGCCCTTTCAGAGGGGGGATGTGTATAGGCAGGAATGGGTTGGAGTGCCTGGCCAGCCCTAATGTGGGCAAGCTCCAATTTAAGGGGGTGAAATAGGGAATAAACTCACTGCTGTGCTCCATGTCACTCATCCAGAAACACTGTGGTTTTCCACTGCATTCTGGAATCCTCAGGAAATCTAGAGCAGATCTTTTTACTGCTCTCTGCTGTGAACCCCACCTCCCCTGCTGCTGTGTGCTCTGGGAACGAGTTAGCTGAACCCTGAGCCAAAAACCAACAAGGAGTGCTGAATAGAGATTTTATGCAGTTGCTCTGTGGGCTTTTCTTCTTGTGAAGGAACAGGGTGTGCTTGAAAGTAAAAAGTGAGTTCTTTTGTTTTGTTGTTGTTGTTATTGTTGTTTAAGTCTTCCTGGAAGGCAGAAAGAAAGAGATAAAAAGGAAAAAACAGCATTTGTCACTTACAGTGCTCTGGTTAGCACAGTAGCTGGGCCCCTGAACCCTCTGCAGGCCTCCCAAGCTGGCACTGAATAAAATGTGAGAAGTGAAAGGAACTTTTCCATGAGTCTGGCAGCGCAGACAGACACTGAGGTGGCAGAGCTGTCTGGTCCCAGCCCACATGCAGAGGCCTGCAGCTCCTCCTTCCAGCCCGCACCCACTAGAGCTTCTCAGACGGGCCGTGTCCTGAGAAGGATGTTGCCAATGCAGATGTTTGAGAGGCTCACTGATGAACAAATCAACAGAGCAGATTTAATCTGAAGAGATCCAAATATTGTGCTTCTTTGGACTCATGGAAATGGCGAAAGATTTAACATCAGGAAGCACTTAAGTCAGCTAATTTCTAGAGCCTTCTTCCTCCCTGTTACTTGATTCTAGATTGGATCACCAGTTAGACGTCAGAACCAGACCTTTTAATCCAGACAAGTACCAGTTAGTTGTTTTTCCTTCCGAAGCCAAGTCCTCGAGTTTCAGGTCGACTTCAGTTGATTTCCGCGAGGTCTTTGCTTTCTCTCCGCCAGAATACTCACTGCCGAGGTAACAGCAGAGAAGGTCCTTAGCACCTTGTATCCGTATAGGAAAGAAAATGAAAAATGTTTGTCTCACCTCTTTTTGCTGCTGATCTCTACAGGAAAGCAAAAAGCCCTGAAGAGCCTGACTTGGAATAAAAACATGCACCATACAAGATTTTTATGAGGATTAAGTAACTTGGGCTAAAATATTTTGGAAGCTGCCAAGGGCTCTACAGATGAGCTATACAGAGGCATTTGCTGAAAACTGGCCTGGATTGACAAGCACAATGCAAACGTAAGGAGCTGAACAGCCTCTGCAGTCCCGGGGGGATGGCAGCCACACAAGGCATGTACCATGCTGGGATGATGGGAAAACCAGTGTCTCAAGAGGAGACTAGAAGAGATTCTTGCCCCAGCAAAAATGCTAAAGAGGGGGAGAAATTTTAGGTAGCAAAGCCAAAAGTAATAGTGATGTAAGATCTGTGAGGTTTCCCCTTTCTATTCACTAGGACCGTAGATGTATGAGAGACACATTCAGGGTTAAGGTCGCATTGGAGGACACATCCCAGAGGTCTGTGGGGAACCAGCTCAGAGGGGTCCTTGTTACCTGCATCTCAGAGCATGCATGGGGTGACAGACATGCAGAAGTAGGGGATTTGGGGAGTACAGGGAATTTGGTTTCTAGATGTATTTCCAGACATTCCATTGGCCAAACTTCTTTTCTGATAAACTGGTGGTGTGCAGACTAGCAAGAGACCTGAATTGGCCATGTCTGTCTCACATTTCAGCTATTCCCAGGAGTGCTTGGCAAAGGAAAATGCGGGTGAACAGTTTGACAGCAAATTGCCTTGGAAGCCTGCAGAAGGGTGTACTCCTAGGGAGGATGATAATAAAGCTAGTGTGTACTTATTGATTATTATGATGTGGGCTAGGCACTGTTCTAAGCATTTTATGTGTGTCAATCCATTTGATCCTCAGTACAATCCTATGAAGTAGGATGACTGTTTTTCCCTTTTAATGGATAAGGAAGCTGAGGCACACAGTAGTTAAGTAATTTCCCCAGGTCATACAGGTAAAGCCAGGTTTCAAACTCAGACTGCCTAGCTGCATCATCTTCCTGTAAATGGATAGAGCATACTTTCCAATCAGAAAATGAAACAGTAACATGCTAACAAGGGTGAATATTTGTTTGGACTAAGGTGGCCTGTAAAGACAGGATGTTACAACTTAGAATGCTAAAATGCTTTTGGCTACTGCATCAGTAAGGATGCTTTTGGCTGCAAGTAACAGAGTAACAGAATAACAGGATAACTAACCAAAAACAGTTAAACAATAAGGACATTTATGATTTCACATAGCCATAAGCCTGGATGCAGTCCAACCTTTTAAGGTCAGGGATGTCATCAAGAATCCAGGTATTTTCCATTTCTTGATTCTGTATTCCTCAGTGTGTCTGCCATGTCTCCCTCACACTTACAAGGTGGCTGCGACAGTTCCAGGCATCACATGGTAACAAGATTACATCCAGTGAAGAAGGAATTTCTCATAAGACAGTCAGCAGACTTTGCAGGTAAATTGGACAAAATCAGGTCTCATATCTATGTCCTAGCCTCAGGGGAGCTCAAAATGTGAATAGCTAGAATTCTCAACTCTATAGAAAGAATAAACAACTCTAGCAAGTAAGAAGAAGGTAGGGTGAGAGGTGTTGGGCTACTGATTTGACCATTTACTTACTACATTTCTTTTTCCCTTTTATTTACTTCTAAGGTGAAGATACACAAAGGATAGATCAAGGTCATGATTTAATGCAGATGGTTGAATTATGATCAAAAAACAAAAAAAAAAACAACAAAAAACCTCCCGTAGTCAGCTCCAGCCATATTTCTGACCTGAGGCTGGGCTTAAGGTCTACACAGCTGGAAACATCCATTTCTGATGCCAGCTACATTATTCCCTGATGAGAACAGTGCCAGCAGTGAACCCCTCATCACTCCCCCCACCCAACCCCCACCTTTGCGTCCCAGGGTATTATCAGTTGTGTCAGCCTAGAGTCTCTGAGTTTGGTCTGGCTCTGCCCCTCCCCCATCCATCTAGAAACAATCTATTTCTGTTTCTTTCTCTCTCTCCGTCTCTCCTGCTTCAATCTCATGTCTTCCTGCTGACTCTAAAGAGACAGCTGACCAATGTGGGAAAGATTTAAATTGGGTTATTCTCTCTTAATATAATTTTTGCAAAATACTATAAATGAATTTCTTCCTGGCCACCAGAGAGAAGTACTACTATTTCTAGCACCAGACTGACAGGAATGGTGCCTGTTAGGATTAAGTTCAGCTGCAATGGGGACATTAAATATGGCTTAAACAAGACTGGGCTGTATTTCTTGCTCATATAAAAGTCCTGGTATTGTCACCAGAACGGGGTCCTGATGCAGACCCCAAGAGTGGGTTCTTGGATCTTGCACAAGAACGAATTCAGGGCGAGTCCACCAAGTAAAGTGAAAGCAAGTTTATTAGAGAAGTAAAGAAACAAAATGATGGCTACTCCATAGACAGAGCTGCCCAGAGGGCTGCCAGTTGGCTACTTTTATGGTTATTTCTTGATCACATACTAAACAAGAGGCGAATTAATCATGAGTTTCCGAAAAAAGGGGCAGGCAATTTCCAGAACTGAGGGTTCTTCCCCTTTTTAGACTATATAGCATAACTTCTGGAAGTTGCCCTGGCATTTGTAAACTGTCATGGCACTGGTGGGAGAGTCTTTTAGCATGCTAATGCATTATAATTAGCATATAATGAGCAGTGGGGACCATCAGAGGTCACTTTTGCTGCCATCTTGGTTTTAGTGGGTTTTGGCTGGCTTCTTTACCACACTCTGTTTTATCAGAAGGGTCCTTGTGACCTATATCTTGTGACACCAGCCCTGCTGAGCTCCTATTTCATCCTGTGACTAAGAATGCCTAACCTCCTGGGAATGCAGCCCAGTAGGTTTCATCTTCATTTTACCCAGCCCCTGTTCAAGTAATAGAGTCACTTTGGTTCCAACGCCTCTGACAGTGTAAGCAACTCAGGCTAGTTAGAGCGCTCCACAGTCAACTGACCCCAGGCTGCTCTGGGCTTCTGCTTTTGTGGCTGTATTACAGTCCACAGAAGCCCTTCAGTCATCACATCTGCCTTCCAAACAGCAGGATGGGTGAAGAGGGGATGACAAGCCAAAGAGCATATGCCTCCTATAATTTATGGAAATTTCTTGGAAGTTATCACACAGCGCTGCCACTTACATTCTGTTGGCCAGAACATAGTCACATGGACACATCTTGCCACAAGTGTAGCTAGGAAATAGCATTCTGTTAGTCAGGGTTCCCCCCAGAGAAGCAGAACCAATGGATGTGTATATATATAGAAAAAGATTTATGATAAGGAATTGGCTCACATTATTACAGAAGTTAGGAAGTCCAAAATCTGCATCAGGGTAAACAGGCAGGCTGGAGATCCAGGAAAGGCTGGTGTCCTAGTTCTAGTCCGCTGTAGAATAAGAAAGAGCCAGTGCTGTAGATGAAGTCTGAAGTCTGAAGGCAGGTTGCTGGAGAATTCTCTCCTCAGAGGAGGAAGATAACATATTCTATTTTATTCAGGCTTTGTGATCTATTCTTTTCTTTTTGGTCTATTCAGGTTTTCAACTGGTTGGATGAGGTTCCTCTACATTATATAGTCTGCTTTACTCAAAGTCCATCAATTTAAATGTTAATGTCATCTAAAAGTACTCTCACAGAAAACACCCATAATAATGTCTAACCAAATATCTGGGCACACTGTGGTTCATCCAAGATGACACATAAAATTAACCATCATGGGCATCTTCATTTGAGGCAGCCCGTGGTGTCTGCACTCTAGGGGAAGGGTCGGCAAACTACAGTCCACAGGACAAATCTGTTTTTGTAAATAAAGGTTTTGGGAACTCAGCCACACTCATTCATGTGCGTATTGTCCATGGCTGCTTTTGCATTACCATGCCAAAGCTGAGTCTTCTAATGAGACCATATGGCCTACAAAACCAAAATTATGTACTGTATTTGACTCTGTACAGACTAGCTGATCCCTGCTTTAGGCAGTTATGCGCCCAGCTAAATACTGGGATTATTTAGAGAAAGAGAAAGGAAATTGTGGTAGGCAGATAGCAATCTTGACCCACAGCAGCATAAAGGACTTGCTGCTGAGATCTTCTAAGAAATCTCCTAGCCATTCAGTAAAATTTTTTTTTTGTACAATCTATGAGATACTGAAGGAATTATAAAGAAATACAAGCCATTTCCCCCAATCTCAGGAACTTAGTGGATTAACTTTGTGGAAAGCAATGGTCTTTGGCTGAGTTGAGGCTGAATTATTAGCCATGTGATCAAACTTCTCAAAACTTCAGTTTTCTCATCTCTAAAATGATCATGATCCTATTACCTCATCAGGTTGCTATATAAATTAAATAAGGTCATTATCATAAACCCTTTCTTCTTGTCTGATAGTGAAAACAATGATAACTAATAGTAATTAAGCTTTATCTGTGTGCCGGGCTCTGGGCAAGGGTTCTTCATGTATTAACACATTTAATCCTCACAACAGCTCTCCGAGGTAGGAACAATCATTATCCCCATTGTATGAATGAGAACATTGAGAGATGAGGTATCTTGGCAAAGAGTGCCTAGTTGGAGCAGAGCTGTGATTCAAACCCTGCTTGCCTGATTTCTGAACCCAAGAGCTCTACCCACCAATGTGTCTCATAGCCTTCCCATGTCAGAGCCCTCCTGCCATCATCTCCTTCCCCTCTGGCTGTAAGACATTCATAGTGTAACTGAGAAAGCAGAGCATATTCAAATAAAAAGCAAATTCATAACATAAGGCAGTGGAGGTGAAGTCCCAAGTGAACAGTATCACTCAGATATGGAGAGGTTCTAGTCCTGCAGAGCGCTTAGGGGAGGTGTCACAGCAGGGATGGGGCCAAATTGGGTCATGATGGACCTACAGGATTTAGAAGACAGGAAGACGCTGTGCAGCCATGGGGAGTGGAGTGGGTAAGGCTTGGAGGTGGGAAAGAAATAGCACCATTAAGGAATAACAAGTAAATAATCCTGGCTAAATCACAGGATTCTTACTGGGAGTCCCGAGAGAGCAATTTGGAAACGAAGATTAGAATTAAATGAATGTCAGCTTGAATGTCTGTCTAAAAAGCTTCCCTGTATTCGGTAGACACTGAGTAGTCATTGGAAGGTTTTGAATGGTGAAATCACGTGATGGCAGCAGTGTCTTTAGGAATAACATGGTGGTTTTGGAAGTGATGACTGAGGTCCGGGGGCTGGGAGACTAGTTGAGAGGCTTTTGAAATGATCTAGACATGATGTAATGAGAACTTGAAGTGGAATGTTAGCACAGGCATGGATGGAATGGCAGGAAGGTAGGAGACATCACATGAGCAGAATCGGGGCACTTGGTGACTTCGTCTGGGAGTGAAGACGGGGAGGGGCAGGATGACTGCCAGGCGTTCAGCCTGGGTGATGGGAGAATTTTGTTCTAAACAGAAGCAGAAGAGGCAGAGGGGAGCTCCATCTGCCACCCCACCTCCATGAGGTCTCTGTCTCCACTGAGCATCTTCACTTACTCAGCCGTCACCAGATACCTGTGAGCAGCCAGCCATCTCCTTTCTTCTTTGCCGTAAGGTGCCACTTCCACCAGAGAAGAACCTAGGGCAGCGAGGAAGCCTGGCCTTTGGGTCAAACAGATAGGAATTTACCTCTGCTCTGTCCATCGCTGGCACTGTAACCTTGAGCACATCTCAACCGCCCTGAGATTTAGTCTCTTTAAAGTAGGGATGACAATACCTACTTGATAGAGTACTTGCGAGTTATATAACAAACACAAAGCATTTAGTATTGTGTCTGGCACGTAGTAGACGCTCAATCATAACGGCTAACACACCATGCTTGAAACAGGCACTGCTCTAACTGCTTTACATCGATTCACTCGGCTACTCCTCTCAACAGTCCTGCAAGGTGGATACCACTCTTAGCCTTCAACTTACAAAGAAAGGAGGTATACAGAAGACACAGAACTCACCAAGGTCACAGGGACTAGGTGAGGATGAGCCAGGCTGCATCCAAGCAGCTTCAGGGTCTGTATTCTTTGCCACTACCCAGAACTTATATCAATAAGCAAAGCTATTATTTACAATAACAGGAAGCAAAAATAGCAAAAAGTTCCCTCTGAGGGGGAGTGTTATAATATACTTAACCATCAGAATGGCTAAAGCACTGATCTGTGAGAGTGGCAACTGTTCATAGCCCGGAGCTGGTCCTTTAGGTCCTCTTTGGTTACTGGATCCTGGGAGGATGGATAAGGAAGTGGTCTCAGGCAGGGGGTGGAGTTAAGTGGCTGTGGAAGGTACTTAGCAGGCTCAGGCAGCAGCTTTTTTTCCCCTTAAACTTTTATTTTAAGTCCTGGGGTACATGTGCAGGATGTGCAGTTTACATAGGTAAACGTGTGCCATGGTGGTTTACTGCACAGAACAAACCATCACTTAAGTATTATTAAGCCCAGCACCCATCAGCTATTCTTCCTGATGCTTTCCCTCTCCCCAACCCCCACCCGACAGGCCCCAGTGTGTGTTGTTCCCCTCCCTCTGTTCTCTTTGTTCAGCTCCCACTTATAAGTGAGAACATGTGGTGTTTGGTTTTCTGTTCCTGCGTTAGTTTGCTGAGGATTACAGCTTCCAGCTCCAACCATGTCCCTGCAAAGGACATGATCTCATTCCTTGTTATGGCTGCATAGTATTCCATGGTGTACATGTACCACATTTTCTTTATCCAGTCTATTGTTGATGCACATTTGGGTTGATTCCATGCCTTTGCTATTGTAAACAGTGTTGCAATGAACATACATCTTTATATATGAAAATATATGTATCTTTATAATAGAATGATTTATATTCCTTTTGGTATATATCCAGTAATAAGATTGCTGGGTCAAATGGTATTTCCGCTTCTAGATCTTTGAGGAATCGCCGCACTGTGGTTGAACTAATTTACATTCCCACCAACAGTGTAAAAGCGTTCTTCCTTTTTCTCCACAACTTTGCCAACATCTGCAGTTTCTTGACTTTTTAATAATTGCCATTCTGACTGGTGTAAGATGGTATCTCATTTTGGTTTTGATTTGCATTTCTCTGATGATCAGTGACGTTGAGCTTTTTTTTTTTCTTTTGAGATGGAGTCTTGCTCTGTCACCCAGGCTGGAGTGCGGCTGCACAATCTCTGCTCACTGCAACCTCTGCGCCCCCGCTCCCTCGGATTCAAGCGATTCTCCTGCTTCAGCCTCTCGAGTAACTGGGATTACAGGTGCTTGCCACCATGCCCAGCTAATTTTTGTATTTTTAGTAGAAACAGGGTTTCACCATCTTGGCCAGGCTGGCCTTGAACTCCTGACCTCGTGATCCACCCACCTTGGCCTTCCAAAGTGCTGGGATTACAGGTATGAGCCACCGCGCCCAGCCTGAGTTTTTTTTTCATGTTTGTTGGCCGCATGAATGTTTTCTTTTGAGAAGTGTCTGTTCATGTCCTTTAGGGCAGCAGCTATGAACAACTCATACAGAAAGTTCAATATCTTAACTTCCAGTGTGGCAGGATGGGTGTGCCCTGGGTGAATACCAGAACTGGTTGTCATTTTTCAGTGTTCCCTGATCAACCTGTGGACAAAACAAACTGATTTTTAAGAACGTTCTCATTGTTGAATGTTATATTGATTTTTAAAATATATTTTATTATTAATACCATGCTTAAATTGGTTTTTAAAAAGACTTAAGGCAGCTTGTAGTTTAAAAAAACCCTTACAAATACAAATAAGATATGGATCATAATAAAAGTTGTGTATGTAAAAGTTTTTGTTATAGGCTAAATGTTTGTGTCCCACAAAATTCACAGGTTGAGATTCTAACCCCCCAAAGTGACAGAAGTGGGAGATGGGGCATTAGGGAGGTAAGTCAGTCACAAGGTTGGAATGCTATGAATAGGATTAGTGTCCTTATAAAAGAGACCTGGAGAGTTCTCTAGCCCTCATTCTGCCATATGAAGACACAATAAGAGGACAGCTCTCTAGGAGCCAGGAAATGGCCCTCGCCACACACTAAATAGCCTAATAATTTGATCTTACACTTTCTAGCTTCCAGAACTGAGACATAAATGTTTATTGCTTATGCCACTCGGTTGGTGGTATTCTGTCATTGCAGCCTGAACTAAGATAGTTTTATGCTTGAAAACTTAAACTAAGAATGCAGAGTGAAACTGAGCACTAAATTTGACTCTGAGATTCCCAATGGCCAAGACTAAATGAGAAATAGGATGAGTTTCTTAGTTTTGACTATGCAAATAAACCTAAATGCTTCAATCTTTATGTCGAGGATTTAGGGATGCAGGACCAAGATGGCATTTTGATGTGAAAAAGACAAGCTTCAACTTACTATATTCTTGCCCCAAAAGAGGTCCACTTTGTCTTTTACTCCACATGAGAATCATATTACCAAAGCAAAACACACCTCACCAGCTATGCCTCTGCTGAGTGAAAGACCAATGCCAGCTTTAAAGTAAATGAGTAGGCTGGGCGCGGTGCCTCACGCCTGTAGTCCCAGGACTTTGGGAGGCCGAGATGGGCAGATCACTTGAGGTCAGGAGTTCGAGACCAGCCTGGCCAACATGGTGAAACCCTGTCTCTACTAAACATATAAAAATTAACCGGGCATGGCCAGCTACTCAGGAGGCTGAGGCAGGAGAATCGCTTGAATTCGGGAGGCAGAGTTGCAGTGAGTCAAGATTGCACCACTGCACTCCCGCCTGGGCGACAGAGCAAGACTCCATCTGAAAAAAATAAAAAACAAATAAATAAAAAAGTAAATGAGTAAAGAAAAAATTAGGGAAAGAGAAGCTTGGTATCAGGAGAGGAGAATGTGATTTTAAGGATGTATTTTGCTTCAATTACCTGCCTAAGTGTAAAATGCTGGTCTGGGTGAGCACCTTAAATAAGATAATTTCCATCCCATTGAACTCCCCTCACTTAAGTATAGGACCAGCCAATTCTATGCAATTTTTTTTCACCAGAGGAAAAAAAATGAGAACTTTGCAAATAAGAAAGGTGATCTGGTGCCTCCCAGCATTTCTGGGAAGGCAGCCACATTAAAGCCTATGATTCTTTCTTGTAGTGTCTTCCTAGAGTTAAGGGAAGTCCTTAAAGTTTGCTATTAATGCCTACTGGCTTAAGAGTAGACCAAAGGATTTCAGGGAGCTTGTTTCTAATAGAGCCTATGATCAAGAGGATTACAGTTTAGGACGGAAGGAATACCTTCCACATCTTTTTCATTATTGTTCATGTGACCCAGATTTCCCAGATCTTACCACCCTGCAGTACCAAAGAGATTGCTTTGGAGTCCCATCTGACTCAGGGTATCATGTCCCAAAAGTTCACCTTAAGGTTTCTGAGATCTCCAGGGAGCTTTACAAGCACTAACAACATGGCTGCTCCCAGTGGGTATCTGCTGGCCATGGTTCTTGTGTGCTTGGCGTCTGCTCACTCCTGCCTGTGTGCTACTCCTCCAAGGAAAGGGAGAAGGCCGTGACAGCCTGTCTCTGGGTTTACACAGGACAAACTTTTAGTTCATAAAATGGCAGCCACCTGGGTCTGCTTCTGATTTGTTCTGTTACTTTGCACAGGTCACCTTGGTGCTTTCTACTTCAATTTCCTTTACTGAAAGTGGCAAGAATTCTCACATCTCACAAAGATGTAGCGGGAACTGGCTATTTAATGATTAGTTGTATTTTGAAAACATCAAGTGCAAGATAAGTGCCAGGGCAGGAAAGCCAAGTATTTGTGGCTTCCCCAGTGAGCAGTTGGTTGTGCTTTTTTTTTTTTTCTATAAACATTCAAAGGAAATAAATTGAGAGAGAACAATCTCAAATCCCTAAAGTCAATAAATTGCTCTTTAAGCCTCTTTACTAAACTAGGTTGCTGCATAGGTGAATCCCAGGTTATGAGGGGAGAGTCATAAAAAAAATCCCATGCAACCCGAAGTTATATAACTAGGGGCACTAGGACTATGGAAAGTTTGGAAAGGGATGAGGCCCCATAACCAATATTTGATAATTACATTTTAATTAAAGGAACATTTAATCCTAAACTACTCTAAAGACATTAATCACCTTAATGAAAACCTTTACTTAAAATGTAAAGAAGGTATTTAGGAGGCTAGAGGGAATGTCCAGTGTCATGAAAAGGAAAAGACAGATACAAAATTGGAAAATTTTACCTATTTCAATTCATGCTCCCAGAAACCATATCAAAAGAAGCTTCTTCCTTCAGAAAATAAGAGGTATGTTATGGGTCACATTGGGTCCCCTTCAAAATCATTATGTTGAAGTCCTACAACACTGGTACCTCAGAATGTGACCTTACTTGTAAATATGGCCACTGCAGATGTAATTAGTCAAGTTTAGATTATACTGAACTAGGCCGGGCCCCTTGTCTGATATGACTGGTGTCTTTATAAAAAGGGAAAGTTTGGACACAGATGTACACATTCCGGGAGTACACCCTGTGAAGATGAAGGCAGAGATCAGGGAGATGATTTTACAGAACAAGGAATGCCAAAGATACAAGTAAACCACAGAAGATAAGGGAGAGACATGGCTTCTCTCACAGCCCTAGAAAGAAGCAACCCTGACAGCACCTTGATCTCAGACTTCAAGCCTCCAGGGCTGTGGGACAATAAATTTCTATTGCTTAAGTCACTCAGTCTGTGGTGCTTTGTTATGGCAGCCCTAGGAGACTTATATTACATACAATTGTTCTAAAGAATCAGAGGTGGCCGAGCACAGTGGCTCACACCTGTAATCCCAGCACTTTGAGAGGCTGAGGCAGGCAGATCATTTGAGGTCGGGAGTTTGAGACCAGCCTGAACAACATGGAGAAACCCTGTGTCCACTAAAAATACGAAATTATCCAGGCGTGGTGGCACATGCCTATAATCCCAGCTACTCGGGAAGCTGAGACAGGAGAATCTCTTGAACCTGGGAGGCGGAGGTTGTGGTGAGCCAAGATCGTGCCATTGCACTCCAGCCTGGGCACCTGGGCAACAAGGGTGAAACTCCATCTCAAAAAAAAAAAAAAAAAAAAGAATCAGAGGTAATGAGAAGAAGGGACTGGAGGCAGTTGCCACAGGTTCCTCTCTACCTATTCTACTAGTTTAAAGATTTGCTTGAGTTAATATATTATTTTCTTAAAATATAAATATTTCCTTAAAAGATTATGATCATCAATTATTTACACCTGATGGCATATTTTATTTTCTTTTTTTTTTTTTGAGACGGAGTTTTGCTCTTGTTGCCCAGGCTGGAGTGCAATGGCATGATCTCGGCTCACTGCAAGCTCCACTGCCCAGGTTCAAGCACTTCTCTTGCCTCAGCCTCCCTAGTAGCTGGGATTACAGGCATGTGCCACCACACCCAGCTAATTTTGTATTTTTAGTAGAGACAGGCTTTCTCTATGTTGGTCAGGCTGGTCTCGAACTCCTGACCTCAGGTGATCTGCCCATCTTGGCCTCCCAGAGTGCTGGGATTAAAGGCATGAGCCACCGTGCCCGGCCCATATTGTATTTTCAAGAGATGGCCACAGTGCTATCTCTTACCCCACATTGTCCCTCAAGAATATCACCATTCTCTATTAAGAAGTCACATCAAATTCTCCTTCTCTTGGACCTAAGGGGGCTTGTAACTCACTTGTAACCAACAGAAACTTCTGAGGCCAGGTCACGAAGGTTGATGCAGCTGCTGTGTTGGGAGCTGAAATACTTGCAGTGGAGCATTTCACTACTCTAAGGCTGCCATGTTGTGAAGAGGCTCAAACTAGCTCTTAGAGAGAGACCCCATGGAGAGACCATCTGTGAAGACAGAGGTGCCTAGCAAGACTGCAGCTTCTTCAGCCCCTCTGCTGTTCTGGCTCCAGCCTTTCTTCTGACAACCACTTGGGGGACTCCAAACCAGAATCTCCCCACTGAGCCCTCTCTGAATGCCGGACCCACAGAAACTGGGAGAGGTTAAAAACGACTGTTGTTAAGTCACTATGTTTTTGGGTGATTTATTACTCAGCAAGAGATAGCGGATACGCCTTAATGCATTATTCTGATAATGAAATTTCTTGACTTCTAAATTAGCTGTTTTAGAATTTAATTTTCTCTAGGAAAGGGTGGAAAGCACAAGAAAAGAAGATGACTTTGGTAACCTAGAAACACCTACTTTACAGACTTCCCCACAGCCTCGTGGGCCATTTTGTATGGCACTAAACACCATCAGTGTTGCTCCCCTTGGCATTCTACTCTATCATCAATTAGAATGTAAATGACAAGGAAGTACCTTAAGAGTTGAAACCACTAATCACACTAATGTTTATGTAAATCAGTCAATTCCAGATTGGAGGGTCCTTTTTTACTCCCTACTTCCAAAGGTGTTCTAATTATGCAAAATTGTGTCATCAACTGCCGTGGCCAAGAACAAGTTCATTATCACTTGTGCTAGTCTTGCATGTTGAATTTGCCAACTTCTGAAGACCTCTATTTTCAGTCAGAATCTGGCACTGATTCTAATGATTCTTACTTCATTCGTGATGGGGGTGGGAGGACCAGGATAATAAAGGTGTTTGCACTTT